GCAAGGCTCCAGGGTGGCGGAGACGGGGGCTGATGCTTCCTGGCGAGTTTCCTAGAGGGCTTGCCGAGTGTGGGAGAGCAGGCTGTGTGGACGTCGCCTCCCTGCTGGGCTGCTTGGCGGGGAAGCCTGCGCGCACAGTCTCGGCTCTGCACTCCGGTTGGCCTTCGGGGAGCCGATCATCCGCGCGGTGGTGTCTGCCTTGCTCCGTCTTGGTAGGGCTGGCTGTGTTAGGGTTTTCACTATTCACAGTACAGTGCAGTGGGAGAGAAGGGGCGCGTGCTGACGCCAAGCAGGGCTGGTTTGGGTTTGGCTTCTTGCGGTTCAGCTTTTTGAGCCTGAGAGACGCTGGAGCATGGAGCTGTGCAGTTCTGAGGCACTCGTTTTAGCTTCTCACTTAGCTGAGCCCAAACCAAAGTAGGCTGTCACCTCTTCGGACAATTCAGGAAGCAAATAGCGCCCGTCCAGCCTTCTTACAGTGGGGGAGGGGCGTGCGCTTGCCTTACCCGAAGGTTTTTTGTAGCTCTGAATATTCAGTTTATATTTGTTTTGGGTAAAAATCTCATACATAAGAGCCACTGTGGGCAGACTTGAGCGAGGCCTCTCCCACCGCCCTGGGGGTATCGCAGGAGTCCAGCCAGTATCATCCTCCGAGTTGTTTTGAAATGGGTTTTTTTTTGTACATTTTGGCTGCAGTATTGGTGGTAGAATATACTATAATATGGATCATCTCTACTTCTGTATTTATTTATTTATTACTAGACCTCAACCACAGCCTTCTTTCCCTCCACCTCTTTGCCTGTAGGATGTACTGTATGTAGTCATGCACTTTGTATTAATATATTAGAAATCTACAAATCTGTTTTGTACTTTTTATACTGTTGGATACTTATAATCAAAACTTTTACTAGGATATTGAATAAATTTAGTCTTACTAGAAAATAAGGCACTGTGTTGTGGCCTTGTGTTCCAGATCTTTGGTTTAACTAATGTTCTTGGCCTTCGTATGTACCCGGTCTGCGCCTGCGCTGTTATGCCTGGCCACAGAAGCAGGCTTTCTCGGGAAGTAACGATGAGGCTGCGCGGGGCATTGCAATACAGGGTGTGCACAGTGCTGAGCTTAGGGTTGGCGGTGGCTTTGCCTGCGAAGGGCAGAGCCCCTGCGCTTCCGTGTCGGGGTCGGGCTCGTTACTCTCAGTCTGTTCCTGTAGTCATCTGAATTTTAGTTGCTTCAGGATTATGAGGAGTCGAGGTATAGCCCCTGTCCAAGCTCTGAAGCAGATTACCTGGCAAAGGTAGATCTGTGAGCCAGAAGTCCTGCGCTGCTCTCGGGGTTTTCGTGTACTTACACAGCTGCGTAAGTGAGGTCGCAACTGTGGCCTCAGGAGTGCTAGGCTCGCCCTCGAGCACGGTACACCCCGGCCCTGCTTTGGGACAGTCAGGTGGTGCACAGGCACCTAATACAGGGGCTGTGAGGTTACCAGCTGCCTGCCTTTGAATGTGGGAAGGTGGTGGTCCTGTATGACCTAGCGCCATGGAGTGCGGTGCCACCGTGCAGTGGCTGAAAAGTCTCGCTCAGTTCTGTGAGGCCCAGCTGAGCTGCGTGCAAGGACCTTGTGAGGTGTTGGCCACTGTCACTGGTAGAGCGCCACAGCCCATGCTGGCTTCGCACTGCTTCCTTGCAGCTGTGGGGCCCAGTGCTTGCCTTCCTGGGAGATGCTTCCGGTACTTGCTATCTGCAGGATCTCCCCTACAAGACTGCTGTGGCAAATACACAGGGCTGTCTGCCTCAAGACTCACAGCATGCTCTGCGATGCCAGCAGTGGGGTGAGGGGTCTCGGAGCTGGTCTGCCATGACAACTTAAGTTACACTTGTGTAGCGAGTCAAAGGTTTTCATGAAACCGCTACCTCGAGCCAGATGCTTTTTTGGTTGGTTGGGTTTTTTTGTTTGTTTGCTTTTTATAGGGTGATCCTCCTACCTTAGCTTCAAGAATGCTGGAGTTACAGATTTGTCATCACACCTGGGTGGGCCAGGGGTTTTTATATGCCATTTAGGCAAAAATAAATCCACAGGTAGTAACGGTATAAGGAATTCATGGTATTGGCATAAAATTTACTCTGATTCCGAAACATTTTGTACTCCAAACTGTCTCCCCTGTTTCTTTCATCTCCCTACTACCTTGAGGTCCTTTTGTGTAGCTCGGGCTGGCTGAGTTCTCGAGATCCTTCTGAGCTGGGGGGCTGGGGGATACCCCAACTGTGCGCCCACCGCATCCTCACCTTCACATGGACCCGAGGGCCCGGTCCTGGCTGCCGCCTTGCCGAGGCTGACAGTGAGGGGCCCTTCTGATCTCACGGAGGGAGGGGCTGCCCTTTAAGTCAGTTTTGCTATTTGTTAGCTCCAGACTGTATTTTCTATACTGTCTTTGTGTGCAGAAAACAGTTCCTGGGGTTCAGTGACAAAGCTGGGTGTCCCCCAAACTCACCCAGAAGCCAGAAGCAATGGAGAGGAAGGTGCCCAGGGAGGCTCCTTGCCAGCGGCTATACCTGTCTGCACCCCTGGGCAGCCCAGGCCTGGCACTGGGGAGGGGGCAAGATCCTGGCTCCTGGAGACACGGAGGCTCTTGTCCTCAGGAGAGAACAGGAGGACACTGCCGCGTGCACTCTGCGGTGCCCTCAGCCTGAGGGCTTGGGTTACTGCAATCAGGACAGTACTCTCTGGATCTGAAACTTGCAAGCTGGAGGGAGACTCATCCTGCAAGTTGTGTGGGGTCTTGGACACACTTGAGCTTCGGTGCAGAGGAGACGGGAGGCTGGCCATCTCTGTGTCAGTTAGGGGGAATTACTGTTCCACAGCGTCTGTTTTCCACACTTGTATAGCTTGAGTTAGCTTCCCCTGGCTGGGCTTGGGGTTTTTGCAACTGCAAGGAAGAGTGGTTGTTTTATGCTCACGTTCTGTATTTAAATCTCAAAAGGTCTGAGTGCAGCAGTACACGCCAAGTACCCGAGCTGTGGGAGGCTGAGGCAGGAGAATCCTGAGTGAGCCCAGCCTGGATAACAGACCCTATCTCAAAAAATAAAAATGGGGCTAGATGTATAACTCAGTGTGACCTCTAGTACCACAAAAACTCCCTAGTTCTGTAGCAAGGGCCTGCTAGCATTAACGTGGGACCCTGAGCAATTTCCCTCCTCCAGTAGCAAGCACATTCTTTTTAATCTTTTTTATGAATTTAAGACAGGGTTTACAGTGGGGTGTACAGGGTCTCACTATGTAGATCAGACTCATACTGATCCTCCTGTTTCAGCCTCCCAAGTGCTGGGATTACAGGTGCACACCACCACGCCCAGTCTTAATGAAGTCTCAGCGCTTCCTGGGGGTGGGGCCGGAGGGGGTTGAAGCCACTGAGTTCTGCTGAAGCAGATGCTTTTGGTCCGCTGAGCTATCTCGCTGGCCCTTTGGCAGCAACCATATTCTTGGCTTTTACTTTTGGTTGGTTCTGTCCCCACTGCTCCAAGGGTCGTTGCTGGCTTCCCATCGAAATTCCACCCCCTCATCGGCCTTACCTACCTGAGCTGGTGGCACTAGTGAGCGGCCCAGGGTCTCTTGCGTGCAGCACTTCATTGGCATCCCAGAGGCCAGCAGGTGCCCCCATCTCCACGCCGCGCTCCACTCCAGCCCTAGCCTATCGCTGCTCCCGAGGTTGCAGCCAGCCGCGCAGAGCTTTTCATCAAGGCATGCTGGCAGGAGACTCATCGAAGCAAGCTTGCATTCAATCCTGAGCTAAGTAGTCCTTTGATGCCCTCTAGTTGCAACTTTTCCCTGTGGCTCCAGCCAGAGGGCATCACTCCTGGGTCCCTGGGGCCAGGCTACTCCAGACTCTGGCCCTTAACCTCTGTGCCAAACCAGCCAGGTTCCACTGCAGCCTTCTCCGGCTTCCCATCCACCGGAGCTGAAACCTGGAGCTGAGGGCTTGCTCTGTCCATGTTCTACAAACAATGGGCCTTGAAAATGCCTTGCAGAATCGGCCTGGAGAATCTCTACTTCCCTGTGAGCACGATA